GGAGTGGGGGTCTCTGAGATCCCTGGCTCTTCGAGGCAATGTGAGCCCATGCGTTCTTCTCTGGGATGCAGGGAGCTGGGAACTGCCTGCACCACTTCCCCTCCCACCAGGATGCTTGTGTTGGGGACCTTGGGGCTTCATGTCCCCCTCTCCCTGGGAGGTGCACCCCCAGCCAGTCTTGTGTCCTGCCTAGGCTTGTCTTGGGGCACCACCCACCTGCCATGCTTGGGGTGGGGGTTGGGGTCGGTCCTGGCAGCGCTATCCTCCAGGAGGAACAGAGGCACCCCCTGTTCTGCCACCAGCCCGGAGGGTGCCCCTGGGGGCAGGCAGCAGCCCCTATCACACCCTGTTCTGCCCTCAGCTCGTTTGTAGAGGCCGAGGGGGATCATGCCGTTGACACGCAATGCCAAGATGCCAACCACCAAACAGACCCGAGCAGGCAAGGTCGGCCCTGCTGTGGAGAACGTTGACCCTGAGAAGGTGAGTCCCAAGACAGGCAAGGGGTGTGGAGGGCTCCTGCGGGACAGCTGACCCTCATTTTCTAACAGTCTCTATTGCAGGAGGAGAACAGTCATGCTAAAAGGTCTTCATCCTCACCCCAAGGGGGGCGCAAGAAGAGGTCAGCATTCGGAGACATCACGAATGTGAGTGCTTCTGTGAATGTGGGGGCTTTGGTGTCCCCTGTGAGACCCCCATGGGAAAGGGGGCTGTCCCATACCCCAGCTCTCCCTGTAGGGCACATATTGATTCCCTCTGTGCAGCCTCTGTATTCCCCTCTTCTAACCCAAACAGGCTTGCAAGAACCAGGTGGTGGCAGGGAAGAAGGAGGCCTTGAAAGTGGCACCACAGAAGGCACAGAAGGCACCTGGTGCCCTGGAGGTGGCCAAGAACAATGAGGTCAACCTGAAAAAGTGAGTAGGCATGGGGGGGACGGGGTGTGCTGCAGGGCAGAGTCCGCAAACTGTCCCATGGGGAATAAAAAGAAGTGGCAGAGGCTTCCCTTGCATGATGAAGACTATGAGCCAGACACGAGGGGGCAAACAGTAGATAAAATGGCATCAAGTTGTGCCAGTGGAGGTTTAGGTTGGATATTAGGAAAAATTTCTTCCCCAAAAGGGCTGCCCAGGACAGTGGTGGAATCATGGTCCATGGAGCAATTTAAAAGCCTTGTGGATGTGTTACTTGGGGTCATGGGTTAGTGGTGGCCTTTCCCATCAAGTGGGAACGGTTGGATTCATTGTCTTTAAAGGTCTTTTCCAACTTAAACGATTCTAGAAGTCTCTATAGGGATATTTTAAAGGTAGTTTAACCCCTTCCTGAAGCAGCCAGGAGATGTAGCCTCCTCCCAGCAATGATTTACACTCTTGTCCTGCCCAGATCAATGAAGAAAACTCCCCCAGCAGCTCCTGCAGAGTCCAAGGTGGATCCTGTACCAGAGAAAGTGGTGCCTGTGCAGGAAACAAAGACCCCTGAGGAGAAGGTAGGGACCTTGGGCTGCCATGTGGCCCCAAGCTCATCCTGACAGCACTGCTCTGTAGCTGCCACTGGTGATATCAGGGCACCAGGCAGTGCTCTAGACCTTGGAGAGAATCGGTCCAGAGCGATGGGAAACTGTGGATGGGGATAAAGCCCCCCACAATATCTTCCTTCAAGAGTTCT